ACGGTTTTTCTCCTAAAATCCCACAAATGGCATTCAAAACTAGACTTCTGAAAGATGCCTAAGGATTTTTTTTACCGTCTGCCCCGCTACCGCAGTTCCATTAATGGCAACGCCACATGTTCTGCATCATAGCCATGTACAAAGAGGGAGCTCAAAGGTATTTACCTATATTTCCCTGATAAAACTAAACTGAACTGAATTGAACCCTTCAAATACACATAAACATATATCTAACGGTTGATCCATGACGATTTGAGTCGCCCTCGTCTTAGTCCGTAATGTCTGTCTGTCTATAATACTAGCCTCTATGCGGCTGCTGATATGGTGCGAGCCTCGAGGCAGAACAGGACGGGCGGGTCTCGCAAGCGATCGGTGGGTGTTCATCCGTCAGCATAGTTAATGTACATAAGTTACTGTACCGATGCGGCTCTTATAAATGTCAACTAATTGAGGCTGATGACACTGCTTTATAGTAACATATTTTATGTTGGATATTTTATGCGTACTGTTTTCAAAGGCATTGCCTACTACAACCCTAAATATTCTTAAATAAAATGTACAACTGCAAGAACTGAATGCACAAAAATATTTTGGATTGTGGATCTCGACGTCGCTTAAGCCCTCGCTGCATTGCACAAAAGTAACCAAGTCTGCGATGTCTGTCCTGTATCTTGTCGAACGGGCTTTCTGTGCTTTCCATAAAGACTGCTTCGCTAAGGTCTTTGGAACAGTTGCACGAGCGAAACTGGAGTTTGCTTTCCAAGCAGGGAGACCCTGGAACAAAAAAGACCTAAATTCCCTTGAGAGGGTTCAAGGGCGCGCGAAGAAACTGGTGACCGTGCAGGGCTCATTTACCTACGAAACACCTTTTGCTAATCTCGACCTATTTCCGTTGAGTTAAAGGCAGCTACGTGGTAATCTGATACAAGCACTTCGTATAATGCTCAGTCGGGACTGCTATCTTCTATCTGGCGACATTTTCGAGTTTGCAACAACTACGTAGTTAAGAGGTAATCCATTCTAACTACGCGTAACAAGGGCCAGACTAGACACAAGAAAGTTCTTTTTTTGTTATATAGTAGTTGAAGCTTGGATTGTTCTGCCCTTGAACGTTGTTATGTTCGCTTCTGTTGAAGTCTTTAAGAAGAAGAAGAACAAGCTAGATTGCTGTAGTAATGTTCACTCTAAGACAAGTTGACCGCTGTAGTCAACCTGCAGACGAAGGAAGTTTTGCATTTCTTATAGTATACTTATGATATTACTTGCTTCGTTGTAGTAATATTAAATTAATAGGAGGCTTGGCAGATTTGCTTAATTTGAGTTGACCCAATTGCAAAAAAACTCCAGGCGTTTGGCGGGATTTGAACCCGCGCATAAGAGAAGTCCTGTTCCGGAGGCCAATTCTCGAACCGCGTAAGGAATTTAATTACATTCGGGTCGATATTAGCTGCCCAACTTTACCGTCCATATGGAATCCACCAATACGGAAAAACAAGCTGACTGCCCAAGCAGGATTTCCTAAACAATTGTCTAGAATCCACCAGAATGACTACTAGGCTGACTTAATTATGAGGAAGTTTGGCAGATTTGCTTAATTTGAGTTGACCCAATCCCGCCAAATGCTTTGAGTTTTTTTACTGCCCATCAGGCAAGAATTGAACACATAGATTTGACTGGTCCAACTCTGGATGCAAAATATTAACCATATCTCAGCGAGGATAGTACAACGCGCAGGTAATTCCGCAGCTTCCCCATACCTAACTACAACAAGAGAGATGGAAGTAACCCCTGTCTTAATACGATATCGGTGTGTTTATTCGGTCACTGAACAAAGTTGAACGTTATTCAAACATTTAACACAGAGTGTTTTATGTCATAAACGACTCGATATCCACCCGAATCATCGATTTCAGTAATGCTCAGAAGGTAAATTTTCTCCAAAAAACTCGTGTGTAAACAAACCCATCCTTTAGTTCACCCAGGTATGCCTTTTGCATTGAAACTTATAGTTGATTTAGGTTGAAAGAATGCAGTCGGATCGACTACCAGAGCGAGGCATCTGCACTTTTCAACTTAAGGATTTTTTCATAAGCGACGAAGCCATGAAGCCTACCGTTGTTTCTGCTCATGCCATGCACTAGGACTAATACACGCCAGAGGTCTCAACTATTTTATTTCGTTGGAGGATCGTAGGTACGTAACGCATAACATAATAACTTTATGAAGTGGAGTGGAGTCTTTATGTCAGAAATGAATAGATGTCCTACTGAACGATGCAGTCAAGTCAGCTATCAGAGCGATGCATCAGCCATTTTTACTTGAAGGATTTTTTTCGTAATTGACGAAGCTATAAAGCCTGGCTCAATGACGTGGTAATGGAAGTTTAGGGTTTTATTGAAACGGCTGAACGGTTTAAATACTTCACCATTTCTAAGTCACTTTGTCACAGCTCATATAACAATTTCACATTGAACCTTGATGTAGTCAACAGGAATGTGTGATAGGAATAAGAATCAGCTACTGTGCGCATATTAATTGACACCCTTAAAAGGCATTTACAAAGGCATAATTTAGATCTTCAGATTTTGAACATGTTAGGGATCCCTAAAGTTCCAACGTACTATATCTTTCATTTTGAATGAATTTTGCATACACACTTAACGGGGTTATGCTTTCGGAATGCTTTTAATTTGGACAGCGCTTGGAGGGCAGCCTTAACAGAAGATCCATACGTCATGGGTGCCAACCCGCAAAATGCGGCGAACAATATGACGCTCTTAACAAAGTGCTATGTAACACTCCCCATTTGTCGGCTTCTGGGTGTGAGCAAATGGCCAAGAGCATGCCACCGTAGGGATAGACAATCAAGATTTCGTATGCGACCTCATTCTTTTAATCCTAACTTTGACTATGTCATCAGCCTTAATATTTTGACATTTATAAGAGCCACATCGGTACAGTAACTTATGTACATTAACTATGCTGACGGATGAACACCCACCGATCGCTTGCGAGACCCGCCCGTCCTGTTCTGCCTCGAGGCTCGCATCATATCAGCAGCCGCTCAGAGGCTAGAATTATAGACAGACATACATTATCGACTAAGACGAGGGCGACTCAAATGGCCATGGATCAATGGATAGATGTATGTTGATGTGTATTTGAAGGGTAACAGGCAAGGAATGCCCTTGAGGCCCCAATCAGTGTAAACTAATCTACATCATTGTTACAGTCAATATGAAGTTTTAACAAAACGCGGTAGCATGACAAACGTATGAACAGGGTGCATCACCTAGATGTAAGTATGGTCATTCCTGACATCCTTGTCTTGGTCGGTAAGGTTCTTCCGCCTATAATGACTATGCTTCTGCCACTGTGCACGTTGCCGTCTGGAGAGTTATTTGTATATGTGCAATACGTATGTCGTCTTGCAGATGTAAAATGTACTTCAAAAACATGTTCTGTAGGATAATCGTAACTAGGAAAACCACATGACAGAATCTCGATCAAATTGATCCTGATCCTAGGAATTTTCTGACAGCTACACATATAGAATAATGCCTTCAATTTACAATGGCTTTCGTTAAGACAGCGGTGTTTTGCATTGTCTAGTTTCAGGGCTCTTGTTAGCTTACCATCACCATTCCCGGCTGTCTCTTTTAATTTTTAAGTGCTTTGTTTTGATGGTAAAAATGACTCATTGTCAACGCAGTAGACGTTAATTCTCCCGGTTGAGATAGTGTCTAAGATGTTAGACGGTTAATTAAGAATATCGGATGCCATAATATTTGAGCGCATTCAGTATAGGAGTGTGCAAATTTGCATGAGTTTTCTTAGTACATTTGCATTAATCTTGAAGTATAGCAAACAGTAGGTCATCATAGATGCTCTTTTAAGTAACACGTGCAAATGGTCGGATGGTGCAGTGAGTTGCCAGTCGTGTTTACTTGATATAACAGGAACCAATGTGGCCTCTGAAGTCATGACACTGGACGCGAATCTTGTCTCGACCAATGCTAACTTGGACGTCGGGCCAGCTGCGCATACTGCCAAATTCGCGTTTGGAAATCAAGTAGATAGTCGTGTATAGACTAATTTCGAAGTCCACGGAGGCGCCAAATAACAGGGTGCTCAATGGTTTTTCGCGGTTTTTCCAGGTAAATCTGAGCGAACGCTTATATGCTGGTTCGTGGTTGTGCTGAAACGCAGAAAAGGAACCAGATCAAGGTATGCATGTGATTGTGTTAAAGACCAGCTAAACAGTTATGCTTTGAGTTTTCAAATTAGTATTTCCTGACCGTCGTTAGTTTAAACGTTACGTTATGTAATTCCCACTGGTTAGTTTTCCAAAGTTATAGCGTCAAATTTTATTCAGTTAGGTGCGATCCTTTACGTTATACCTAGTAATCAGTCGCGAAATAGGTTAGATATTAAGCCGTTTACGCTAACGTTGACCGTGTGCGGCACAAGGCAGGGGTTAGGGCTGAGAGTCTATTTAGGAGTTGAGTTATTCTAAGAGCAGAGGTTGGCAGGCTTGGATTATTTTTCGAACGGAGAGTTGACGTTCGAGTTAATGATTTTTGTTTACAGCTACAGTTTGAGGGTTTGGGGTACGGCTAGGGCTTTTACGGTTTTGGTTAATGTTAAGGTTAATTTTCCCCTAAAGGCTTACTAGGCAAGAGTCAGGGTTTTTCTTTAGAGGCATAGTCACAGTTGATGTTAGGGTTGTAGGTAACTAATGTTTCCCGGTAGGGCCACATATTATAGCCTTGCCGAGTAAAGTTCCCGTATCGTCTCTTACACAGAGAATAGGCTTTATCCTGGGGCACATAGTTCGTACTTGCATTTCGTGGTTTCTATAGAACAGTTGGCCAGAACTTATGGAAAAATTTAACCTTTCTACACCGTATACGGTCAATGCTATGTAATAATTTTCATATATAAGCATCTTAAGCATTATTTCTTTTATGGAAGGAGTGTTCATCGGGAGAGGTTTATTATAAGCCTGACTTTTCAGGTGGTTGTCTTGTCTACTCATCTTCAGAGAATGGACGCTCTGGCTCACGGTCCTCGTTTTTATGTCGCTCTTTTTTGCGTGTGCCTGTTCTAACAAGTATAGTTAAGTCACTGTGTGTGTCTCTTGCCATGACTTCAATCTCCTCGTTAAGCCTGTCTGTCGCCGTACCACGTGCTTTGGTATCGGCCTCATGCGTGTCCGCTTCCTCGCCCCCTGTAGCACCCCGACTGATTTTTAACCTGGGAATCTAATTTTTAGCACTATTACTAAAGGCCTGCTTTACGCTCGAACACTGACAGAAGAACCAATTTAATTAAATTAAGTTTTATTATAATCAACCAAGGGGAGATTTTACTCGTGAGAACTGGTCGCGGTCAAATTATTCACGACAGTCTTATCAGTCAGAGGAAAACTTGTAGGAGAAGCAGTAGTCTCTTCCAAAGGACTGTCCTGTTAGCACATGTCTCTATTCTCGGGAGGAGGCAGCCACAGCGTCGACCGGGTGGTCGCCTGCCTCTTAATTTTAGCAAGAATGATTACTGATGCGGCATAGGTCTGGAGTTTAAGTAGCCTGCGTATGTTCCTTGTGTAGTCTTACCCGAAAAATGCTTGGATTACCTCGGATCGTACACTAAATCGCGTGCCCCCTCCCCCCACCCATCCTGCATGCCATATATGTCCGCT